AACCCCTCATTCTGGTGACTCTTGTCTTTTAACTTCCAACCTGGGATTCGACGTGATGATTGTAGTGATCTAGGCACAACCACTACTTAGACCGCTACAAGTCCAACAACTTGGGATTTGAGAATGCTCTGAAGAAACGCGGTTTTGTCGTCGAATCCGCAACGGTATCATGCCTTTGTCTACGATGACACAACTTAATCGCACTAACCGTGCACCAAATACATCATTTCCTGTTCCGGAGCCCACTACGAGCCAGCCTAAGGTAGTGTGGTTGTGAAAAAACGGAGCAGGAAGGAGCGGAAGCAGAGTGAGTTACCTGGTCATTAGTCCAATCCTGCATTGTCTCGCAGACGAAGAACAGAGCGTTGAGGACTGCTGTCCAGACAGCGGGGTCGCTGGTGCCCTTGGACTCATTGCTTTTGGCAGAGGAGGCGGTTTCCCACTTGGTTTTTTCGCCACGCAGCCACGGCAGGCGGTCGGACAGATCAGACAGGAAGGTAAATAGCAGGGCCTGTTGGACACGGAAAAAGTAGGCCCGTGCCTTGGTATCTCGCAGCTGGACCCCACGCCGCGAGATGGCGTACACAAGGGCCACAAAGTCCTCCGCACACTGAGGTGTCCTGGCAATAAATAAGGGGAAATCAAAACAAAGCAGTCATCAGTAACATCGTAAAACCCACATTTTAATCACTAGCCCAGAATCTTGGAGTATCAAAGAGAGGGATAAAAAAGAACTAAACTAAACAGTGCAGTATTATCAGTGTCCCGGACACTAGTCATGTTCACTTCGCTCTTTACGCTTAACCATCAGGCGGGTTTCGACATCCCCACTTGCGAGACAGGTCGTAGTCGTCCTCGACAAACAGCGACGATTGGGTGGGAAATTGTGTATAGTACGTTTACTTTGATGCCTAAACACACGGAACCCCGTTGCAAATTAAGATGGAATAAAGTTACGAAAGATAACAGACAAATGGCCGGAAAAAATGTAGTCTGGAAATGGTGATTGATCAACCCAGGAACAATACCCCGAGGGTGGACCCAGTGCGTCCGCTTTTTGCGGACAGCGGGCGGTCTCTTTTGCGGTTGGGATAAAGAGGTGAACTGGATAGAGGAAAATAGGACAATTAGTTCCAGGCGAAGGGGTGGTACTGCGGGCATTCGTTACGGAGACTGACTCAAAACTCACAAGCCAAAGTTTTACGTTACCCTCCCTCAGATAATGGTCGCCGTCCAAGCATAGAATTAGCCCAAGAGTTTCCATTAAAACTGCGGGTAGTAGAGCTATCTGGAATGCATCACATAAACCACCTTGTTAAACATTATATGAACTTCTAAAAATGACCTGAATTAGAAAAAAATGACTTAGATAGGGTTTAACTATTGATTAACATTAAATTTTAGGCAGGACCGACTTTAGAGGCCCCAAAAACCCCGTTGACTTATAATAACAAACTATTTTTAAATTATCAGTAGCCCGACTTCCAATTTTTTCGGTAAATTCCACCAATAGGTCGATTTCCCATTTTTGTTAAACTCCGCTTATACAAGATCGAACTTACCTCGATTGGCATCCATATTCTGCGATACAGGAGTTCATGTTGTTTTAATTCTATTCCATTTTGACATATTAAAACAAACATAATCTTATTTAATATAATACTTTTGATCACTTCCGCCACATTTGCATATTCATTTACGCTCACCGGCCAATAATTAAATGTTTGACCACAAAATACGTTAAGAAGTTGGTCGGGGGAATAGATATTTAGGGGGGCCCTACAAGTCAGTTTTGCCAAATTTTATTCCGATATATTTCTGTCACGCCAGGATATTGGCTTTTGAGTGCGTCTTTTACCCACCAACTACAGAAATGTCGTTCGTCAAAAGTGATTACTTAAGGTGTGCGACTTTTCTCTGTATCGATTGCCGGTGCCCTCATAAATTTAAACATTTTATAACTGGTATGCAGGAAACGCCCTTTTTGTACTCATTTTGTGGTAAATTACGTACTCTTTAAATTTGCCGCTCGAACAAAGAATACCTCTTACTTTAAAAAAAAGACTTTTTTTCAAATCGGGAATAGATTTAAGGCCGGCCTGTGGGCTTCGGTGTATTTAAGGCTTCCAGATCACAAGCTACAAACTTTCCGTTTAAAGTAATTCATACATTCTTTGCATACATTGCATATAAGCCTGACAACATTTTGCAATGGATATGAACCATTTGATATATTTCCTATGGACCATTAATAAGTTTGTTTGAATAAATGCGTCTTTAAAATTCCCTGCGTATTAAATTTTTAAAATTGGGAAATATTGCTTCCTCGAGCACAAAGGTTGATGACAGAATTTCCAACCAAATAAGTGTAGGAAGGGGTGTTTTGTGCATTGTTAATTAGCGCCATACTTGGGATTCAAAAACTTGTTAACCAATCTGAGTACCTAGGGAAACGGATTTGAGGACACAGCAAACTGAACCTGGCTGCCTGAAACTCCCAAAAGTAAAGTTTGGATGACGGAGTACTGATAAAGACTGGCGAGACTGGAATGGCTGTTTCTGGATTATGAGCCATCGTCGGTCTGCCCAACCTAAAACGTAATTTTTGGATAACCCGGGATTTGAACGCAGAATCTTTGGTCATTGAGCGTTTTTAAACTTTACGCTCTACCCCCGAGGCATTTGCATCGTTACTGCTTCCGGTAACTGTCCGTTAGGGATCTAAACTAGGCCCCTAGGAACAAAGGGACGAGCATGTCCTGCGGCTTGATTGGTGAACGTAATTACGACGACAGAAGGCCTTGAAGATATACAGGGGTGTAAACAGACATAAACTCTGGTATGAACTCGAAAACACACATGCCAGAAAAACCTAATTTGAAGAAAAATATATGCGAGAAAATTTGAGGTCCAGATAAAATATTCCTTACATCATCCCCGAAAGAGAAAGAAGAGGAGATGACTTCTGAGACCAAAGTGTATTCCGGCTGACGTTTCAAAAGCTCGCTCG